TAGCCCTGATCTACGAGCATATAGCCAACGCAGTGTCGAAAAAAGATCAGTGTAATATAGTGCTTAGGGACGTCTCGAAAGCCTTCGACAAAGTGTGGCACACAGGCCTAAAATATAAGATATCTGAACTAGGACTTCCTGAGAGATTTACTGCTACTCTCTGCAGCTTTATAGACAACAGAACTGCTGGGCTTAATATCGGCAGCTACGTGGGTGACGTAATAGAACTGAAAAGTGGAGTACCACAAGGAAGCTGCCTCTCCCCCACTCTATTCAACATATACACAGCTGACCTACCCCAACCCCAACATGGAGAATACATCACATACGCTGACGATGTCACCCAAATAATAGGCTAACCAGGACCATCAAAGCCGCTACTAGCCGATAAGACCAAGGCAGCAATTGAACTCATAAACAACTTTGCGAAGTAATGGAAAATAAGGACAAATAAACAAAACTTCTAGATAATACACATTGCAAAAAGAAACCCGGACCCCATCATCCTTGACAACCATCCGATCCAATATGCGGAGGTCGGCAGAATACTGGGACTCATGATAAATAAAACAGGGATACAAACTCATGTAAAGGATCGACTAAACAAAGCCAAAGCAGCAGTATCAGCAGCTTCTCAGTATAAAGATAGGTTAGGTTAGGTAGGGTTGGTTAGGTTCGGTCATAATCTACGTTAATTTTAACTCCAATAAAAAATATTGACCTCATACATAATGAAATCGGTAGCTTTATCTTTTCATAAGAAAAAAATTAGAGAAAATATATTAATTCAGGAAAACTTGGCTTATTAGGCAAATCGGGCCTTGCATAGTAGGCTGAGAAGTGCGTTCTGGCTACTAGGTACGACATTATATATATATATATATATATATATATATATATATATATATTGTCACGTGGGGGTGGGCGGTCCGGGGCTCTGCTAACACTCGGCTGCTAGGGGCTCAAAGGGCCCAAATACTCAGCCCCTCCGACTCCCTGGATTCACCGGAGTCTCCTTGGTCACACAAGATAGGACCAACAATGCCCACCTCCGCAGGTCTTTGCTTCCACCACAAAGGGGTGCCACTGATTCACCCTGGAAGCCCTTCAGTCAACCACGGGGAAACTGCTGTTAACAGTTCCGGCCTAGACCCGTGGGGGAGTGAAGGAAGACTCAGGCTTACCTATAACCATAGCCTCTCTGAGTCTTGCCTGCCAGACAAAAAAAAGGTTGCAGGAACTCCTTTCCCGCCTGTCTTCTCTATCTTCCTCTTAGCAAGGTCGCCAGCTGGGTTATTATATCTGCACCCCAGCAATGCAGTTCAGTGGGTGTATCATATATCGTTTGTAGCCAGAAATGTATGCTCATAGAGAAATATCACAAATGGAGGCACACTCAAACACAGTAATAAAATGTGTGGATTTACTGACGCAAATACATGAACACACACACACAATCACAAGTAATACATGAATATGGAATATGGATGATGAGTCTGGAGATCGTCAGCCTCTTCTTCCACGACCTCCAACTCTCCTTCAACTGGGCAGGAAGACAGGAGTCTCACACTCTCACAGGAGGGCCTCTTCACCACGTCGGCACCTCTTCTTCACTGTCCTGCCATCCATACACACTGTCCTCTCTGACAGTCCTGGACACAAGCTGCCTTGCAGCCTATTCTACTATTAAAGTAATAAAGTCTTGCTGCCACATACACAAGTAAATATTGTGGCCTAACTAGCCTACTCATACAAGGGGTAATGGGAGGGAAAAATGATCTACCTTACACTCCTGGCTCACGACGCCTGTCCCTCGATGGTGTGAGGTTCCCACGCTTCCTTGGGTCGATCCTCGACGATCCAGGGCGTTCCACAGGTCCTCAGGTGTCGTGAAGCCTTCGCGTCGTCGCCGTTCCAATCCCTGAGGTTCAGCTGCCCCAATCCTGGTTCATCGATGGGCGCTGAGCTAATCACTATTCTTCCCCACACTCGCCTCTCCCACAGGGCGTCGCTCCTTGTCCTAGGCACGGTGTCGTCCTTCCAAGATTCTCAGTGGATGTGACCCCAGTCACAGCTAGCTTGCTCGCCCACCTTCCAGACCTCAACGTCCAGCCAGCGGCGCCGCCCAGCGTCCTCGCCGACTATTTTCCAAGTTTGGGCACTTCTCTGCTCACTGAACTTGGTTCCTCTTTGGCTTCCCAGAAGCGCAGGGTCTCCAATAACTATGTTGGCGGCGATGGTCAGCTCAATCCACTGGACAAGGCTTGCAGAGCCTCCAATTCTTGAGAGCAGACCGAGGCGCGTCCTGTCGCTTCCACGGTCAGTACAACTCTGACGTTGGCGCCGCCCGGGGCACTCGGTGACGTCATGGCGGGCCCTGATTTGTCGCCCGCGACCTACGTCGGCCAATCCGCGATCGGCATCGTGTCCCTTCCACAAGGTCATATCTGCCGTAGGGGATACTGTTTCATTTTATAACAGGGCGCCAATTCTCCTTTATTTACAACTTATAATATAACCTCCTTCCATAAAATGGCAGCCGGTCTGGTCGCCACATATATCATTAGACTCCCTGAACCTCAGAGAATCAGTAGGGAGAGCTGATATGACTCTTTAAGCCGGCAAACGAAAGAAATAGGAGAGGGCACCGTAACAATATATATATATATATATATATATATATATATATATATATATATATATAAGCCTGGAAACCCACTTCGGCCAATCATTAGCCAGATACCCACACCCACGTACAGATTGGCGAAGCGACTCAACGGCCTGCTGACTCCTTATGTTCCTTGCGCCTTCAGCCTGAAGTCTCCAAAGGAATTTGTGGACTTACTGCGGGGCGCACGGGCCACAGGGATAAGAGCCTCGTTGGACGTAGAATCGCTGTTCACCAACGTACCTGTGGACGAGACAATCGGAATGATAGCCGACAGAGTGTATCGTGATCCAGCCTGTACTCCTCTTGACATGCCAGAAAGTATTCTGAGGAAACTACTCCAAGCTTGTACTAAAGAGGCACCCTTCTTGAGCCCGGATGGGCACATGTATAAGCAAGTAGATGGGGTCGCTATGGGTTCTCCCCTAGGTGTCCTGTTTGCAAACTTCTACATGGGTACCATCGAGCAAAAAGTCTTAGTCGACATGAACTTGAAACCGGCCATATACTGCAGGTATGTTGACGACATTTTTACACAGGTACCTGATGTCAGACATCTGCAGGAGCTGAAGGAGGCATTTGAGCAGAGTTCCGTGCTGCGTTTCACTTACGAGACGGAAAAGGATGGGAAGCTGCCTTTTCTAGATGTAACAGTCATGGAAAAGGGCGGAGGTTTCCACACTGCAGTCTACACAAAGGAAACAAACATAGGAATGTGCCTAAATGCCAACAGCGACTGCCCTGACAGGTACAAGAGGAGTGTTGTTAACGCATACGTCGACCGTGCTCTCAGCCACAGCTCAGAATGGAAGCAAGTCGACGAAGAACTCTGTAGGGTAAGGCAGGTTCTAGTCAATAACGGCTTCTCCAATGGTTTCATCGAAGACATCATAAGAAGGAAAGTGAAAAGCCATGCAACCTCCGAAGAGACAACTAACACAACACCTATACCCCCTATTAGACTATTTTACAGGAACTTCTTTTCCACAGCTCATAAAACAGAGGAAAGGGTCCTGAAAGATATTGTTAATAGAAACGTTATCCCTACAGACAAAAATCAGAGGATACAACTGACGATTTACTATAAAACCAGAAAAACGGCCAGCCTACTCATGAGAAACTCTCCAGACATGAAACAGAACGCTTTAAAAGAGACTAACGTCGTCTATGCCTTCAAATGCCCACTTGGGGACTGTAAGCTCCAAAAAACCCAGTATATAGGCAAGACAACAACATCTCTTTCTAGGCGTTTAACGATGCATAAACAACAGGGCTCCATTAAGGAACATATAATCTCTTCCCATAACCAAACCATCGCCAGAGAAATCCTAGTAAACAACACAGAAATCATCGATAGATACAGCGATAGCAGGCGGCTCGACGTTTGCGAGGCACTACACATCAAGAAGTCAACACCAGCAATCAACAGCCAATTATTGCACAACTATATTCTACCCACCTCAAGACTCCGCTCCAATATAGAAGCATCAAGAAATATGGACCAATAGGCTTTCTACAAACACTTCTATTCAATATCCATTGTTTCGTGTTCTGTCTTGTGTTGATACTTTTAATACCCTATTAATATCCTCTAATGCCACATCATCCTTCCCACCTTACTCAAATGTAATGCCACATCACCCTTCCCACCTCACTCAAATGTAGATATAAAATCAGGGAAACGCAAGTTCTAATCAGTTGTGTATTTGTGAAGTCTTTGAAAATGTAATAAGTTTTACGAAACGCGCCCGTGTCGCGTCAGACTAGAAATAAAAATGAATTTTGGAGAAGTGATTTTTGATTTACCTCCAACAGTGAAGCATAATGTACGAAAGATTGAGAAAATTCGTGTTAGAATTATTAATCTTACTTTTTCGGTCATATTTAATAAAATATATATATATATATATATATATATATATATATATATATATATATATATATATTATACTATATTTTCTTAGCAGTCTATTAAACATATTCCGTTGAAAACAACAAGGTTTTAGTTTTATGATTCTGGCACGAATCTTTCTCGACATTCTTGCCAGAATTGCTTCACTGAAGCAAGTAGTTGAAAAATTAACTCTCCAAAGTTCATTTGTACTTTTTATTGAGGTCTGATGCCTAGTGATGCATTTCGTAAGGTCTCACCTCACATTCTCAAAGACAAATTCTAATGTGCTTAGCACAGTAGAGAATATAATTAGGTGCTAACCTTACGAAACGCATCATTAGGCGTCAGACCCAAAGGAAAAGTACAAATGAACTTCGGAGAGTTAATTTTTCAACTACTTGCTTCAGTACCACCCGAAAGAAAATTGCCGGGACTGACCTTGATGATGTTGGAGCCGTGGCTGCGAGGGTTGGGGACGACGGTGATCCTGAAGAAGGGCGAGACACCGTACTCAGCGTGGAGACGGACCAACACCGTGTCGAACTCCCACCGGCGCCTGTCCCACGTCTCCCTCATCAGCGTCCACCCGTCTGCCGGACCACAACCACACAGTCAACCACCGCCATAATACAAGTCTTATATTAACAATATTAACAATAATAATAGCTCTGACACAACTGAGATTGCCATCTCAGGTGAGCAGTAAATGTCCCGTCACAAGACTGGAGAAGTTTACTGTACACATGACCTAATACCGTCCACCCACACACCAGTACAGTTACGGTTTATTGATGTTAAACTGTTTGTCAAGGAAATGCAGAACTATTGGGGGCGAGCAGTTGTGCCTGACCTGCCACACTAGTGACACCACAGCCAGGGTGTGGCAGTGTTATCTACTGCCCCCCCCTCCCCCTTCCCCTTCCCCTCCCCCCCCCACACGTGAAGCATTCTAAAACTGCACAGTCTTCTTCTAATGTCCAATTTAGATTACGACCGCCCAGCACAATGCTCAGCTTTAACCCCAAATTATTTCAATACCAAAAACTTTAGACTTATATGAGTGAACATTTATTATCGATTAACTTTATGAATGTTAAAATACATTTCACGAGCTGTACATTTGGGTGGCCGCGGCGAGGACTCTAAACATTCCATATATCCGGGACCTGTGAGTTGTGTGTCATCTAAGATGCTCACACATACTCCTCAACCATCTCATTTAAGGTGACTCCTCGCCACTCAAGCCTCGCCCGCTGTCCTGCAGCCTCTCCAAGATGAAACTTGTAAAGCTGGACCCACCTCGACACTAAACTATATAAACCAGGCGACCGTCTTAACACACACCGGCCATATATGGAGGGTGAGAGGGACCAGCCTTGACAGCGCCCGCTCACTGTGGCTGTTGTTGTTGTCGAGGCTGGCAGCGCTGTTATGGCGCCGGCATCTCTTAACTCCATAACACAATTCATATTCAGATTTTGGCCCAATAATGAATCATGATTTACAGAGAGGGGGGGGGGAGGGGGTAGAGGCGATGAACCACACGGCCGGCAACAGCTTACAGCCACGGAGATGAATCACCTCCAGAACTCTCACCAATGGCAAGACTTCTCTAACGAGCTTACGAATCTCACCTAATTTCACCAATGAGATTACCTCATCGTTCCTTAAAGGACCGGACGCCTGCCACGTGCCCCCCCCCCCACAACCACCACCATTATCTGACTATTACCAAAGCTTCGCGCTACAAAGCTTAGTATCTATTTGCGTTATTCGGAAATCTTAAAATATACACCAGTTTCTTGGGTCAAGATCCTGCTCACTACGACGCCCAGATCTGTATCGAATTCCTTGGTGACAATTTTAACATTGTGTGGATCTGTGGAGTTGCCTTCTACTGCCTAATCGTTTATTTCAATCCATTTTCCTTTTCTTACGTAAAGCGGATATTTTCTCATCTTATGGCTCATCAATGGTCCAAGCTTCTGCCCCTCTCATTGTGCTTATGGGCGAGTCTTGTGTGGTGCCAGGCTGGGGGGAGCCAGGCTGGGGGGTGCCAGGCTGGGGGGTGCCAGGCTGGGGGGAGCCAGGCTGGGGGGTGCCAGGCTGGGGGGTGCCAGGCTGGGGGGTGCCAGGCTGGGAGGTGCCAAGCTGGGAGGTGCCAGGCTGGGGGGTGCCAGGCTGGGGGTGCCAGGCTGGGAGGTGCCAGGCTGGGGGGTGCCAGGCTGGGGGGGTGCCAGGCTGGGGGGATGCCAGGTTAGGGGGGTGCCAGGCTGGGTGGTGCCAGGCTGGAGGGGTGCCAGGCTGGGGGTGCCAGGCTGGGAGGTGCCAAGCTGGGAGGTGCCAGGCTGGGGGGTGCCAGACTGGGTGGTGCCAGGCTGGGGGGTGCCAGGCTGGGGAGGTGCCAGGCTGGGTGGGTGCCAGGCTGCAGGGGTGCCAGGCTGGGGGGTGCCAGGCTGGGGGGGTGCCAGACTGGGTGGTGCCAGGCTGGGTGGTGCCAGGCTGGGGGGTGCCAGGCTGGGAGGTGCCAGGCTGGGTGGTGCCAGGCTGGGGGGGTGCCAGGCTGGGTGGTGCCAGGCTGGGGGGTGCCAGGCTGGGAGGTGCCAGGCTGGGGGGTGCAAGGCTGGGAGGTGCCAGGCTGGGGGTGCCAGGCTGGAGGGGTGCCAGGCTGGGAGGTGCCAGGCTGGGGGGTGCCAGGCTGGGGGGTGCCAGGCTGGGTGGTGCCAGGCTGGGGGGGTGCCAGACTGGGTGGTGCCAGGCTGGGTGGTGCCAGGCTGGGGGGTGCCAGGCTGGGTGGTGCCAGGCTGGGTGGTGCCAGGCTGGGGGGGGTGCCAGACTGGGTGGTGCCAGGCTGGGTGGTGCCAGGCTGCAGGGGTGCCAGGCTGGGGGGTGCCAGGCTGGGGGGTGCCAGGCTGGGTGGTGCCAGGCTGGGGGGGTGCCAGACTGGGTGGTGCCAGGCTGGGTGGTGCCAGGCTGCAGGGGTGCCAGGCTGGGGGGTGCCAGGCTGGGGGGGTGCCAGGCTGGGGGGTGCCAGGCTGGGTGGTGCTAGGCTAAGGGGGTGCCAGACTGGGTGGTGCCAGGCTGGGGGGTGCCAGGCTGGGTGGTGCCAGGCTGGGGAGGTGCCAGGCTGGGTGGGTGCCAGGCTGCAGGGGTGCCAGGCTGGGGGGGTGCCAGGCTGGGGGGGTGCCAGGCTGGGGTGGTGCCAGGCTGGGGAGGTGCCAGGCTGGGTGGGTGCCAGGCTGCAGGGGTGCCAGGCTGGGGGGGTGCCAGGCTGGGGGGGGTGCCAGGCTGGGGGGGTGCCAGGCTGGGTGGTGCTAGGCTAAGGGGGTGCCAGGCTGGGTGGTGCCAGGCTGGGGGGGTGCCAGGCTGGGGGGGTGCCAGGCTGGGGGGTGCCAGGCTGGGGGTGCCAGGCTAGGGGGGTGCCAGGCTGGGGGGGTGCCAGGCTGGAGGGGTGCCAGGCTGGGGGTGCCAGGCTAGGGGGGTGCCAGGCTGGGGGGTGCCAGGCTGGGGTGGTGCCAGGCTGGGAGGTGCCAGGCTGGGGGGTGCCAGGCTGGGAGGTGCCAGGCTGGGGGGGTGCCAGGCTGGAGGGTGCCAGGCTGGGGGTGCCAGGCTGGGAGGTGCCAGGCTGGGGGGTGCCAGGCTGGGGGTGCCAGGCTGGGTGGTGCCAGGCTGGGGGGGTGCCAGACTGGGTGGTGCCAGGCTGGGTGGTGCCAGGCTGGGGGGTGCCAGGCTGGAGGTGCCAGGCTGGGTGGTGCCAGGCTGGGGGGGGTGCCAGACTGGGTGGTGCCAGGCTGGGTGGTGCCAGGCTGCAGGGGTGCCAGGCTGGGGGGTGCCAGGCTGGGGGGTGCCAGGCTGGGTGGTGCCAGGCTGGGGGGGTGCCAGACTGGGTGGTGCCAGGCTGGGGGGTGCCAGGCTGGGGGGTGCCAGGCTGGGGGGGTGCCAGGCTGGGGGGGTGCCAGGCTGGGTGGTGCTAGGCTAAGGGGGTGCCAGACTGGGTGGTGCCAGGCTGGGGGGTGCCAGGCTGGGTGGTGCCAGGCTGGGGAGGTGCCAGGCTGGGGAGGTGCCAGGCTGGGGGGGTGCCAGGCTGCCAGGGTGCCAGGCTGGGGGGGTGCCAGGCTGGGGGGGGTGCCAGGCTGGGGTGGTGCCAGGCTGGGGAGGTGCCAGGCTGGGTGGGTGCCAGGCTGCAGGGGTGCCAGGCTGGGGGGGGGTGCCAGGCTGGGGGGTGCCAGGCTGGGGGGGTGCCAGGCTGGGTGGTGCCAGGCTGGGGGGGGTGCCAGGCTGGGTGGTGCCAGGCTGGGGGGGTGCCAGGCTGGGGGGTGCCAGGCTGGGGGGGTGCCAGGCTGGGGGTGCCAGGCTAGGGGGGGGGTGCCAGGCTGGGGGGGGTGCCAGGCTGGAAGGGGTGCCAGGGGTGCCAGGCTAGGGGTGTGCCAGGCTGGGGGGTGCCAGGCGGGGTGGTGCCAGGCTGGGGTGGTGCCAGGCTGGGGAGGTGCCAGGCTGGGTGTGGTGCCAGGCTGGGGGGTGCCAGGCTGGGGGGTGCCAGGCTGGGGGTGCCAGGCTAGGGGGTGCCAGGCTGAGTGGTGCCAGGCTGGGTGGTGCCAGGCTAGGGGGGTGCCAGGCTGGGGGTGCCAGGCTGGGTGGTGCCAGGCTAGGGGGTGCCAGGCTGGGTGTTGCCAGGCTGGGTGGTGCCAGGCTAGGGGGGTGCCAGGCTGGGTGGTGCCAGGCTGGGGAGGTGCCAGGCTGGGGGAGGTGCCAGGCTGGGGGGGGGGTGCCAGGCTGGGGGGGTGCCAGGCTGGGGGGGTGCCAGGCTGGGGGTGCCAGGCTGGGTGGTGCCAGGCTAGGGTGGTGCCAGGCTGGGTGGTGCCAGGCTGGGGAGGTGCCAGGCTGGGGGAGGTGCCAGGCTGGGGGGGGGGTGCCAGGGGGGGGCTGGGGGGTGCCAGGCTTGTGTGGTGGCAGGCTGGGGGGGTGCCAGGCTGGGGTGCCAGGCTAGGGGGTGCCAGGCTAGGGGTTGCCAGGCTGGGGGGGGGTGCCAGGCTAAGGGGTGCCAGGCTAAGGGGGTTGCCAGGCTGGGGGGGTGCCAGGCTGGGGGGATGCCAGACTAGGGGGGGTTGCCAGGCTGGGGGGGTGCCAGGCTGGGGGGGTGACAGGCTGGGAGTGCCCACATACACGTAGTGACCCCCCCCACACACACACGTAGTGACCTCCCCCCCACACACACACGTAGTGACCTCCCCCCACACACACACGTAGTGACGCCCCACACACACACGTAGTGACCCCCCACACACACACACGTAGTGACCCCCCCCACACACGTAGTGACCCCCCCCCCACACACACACGTAGCGACCACCCCTACACACACACGTAGTGACCCCCCCCCCACACACACGTAGTGACCCCCCCCCCCACCACACGTAACGACCCCCCCCCACACACACGTAGTGACCCCCCCCCCACACACCACACGTAGCGACTCCCCCCACACACACACGTAGCGACCCCCCCCCACACACACACGTAGTGACCCCCCCCCCACACACGTAGCGACCCCCCCCACACACACGTAGTGACCCCCCACACACGTAGCGAC